TTGGTTAGCTTTTAGTTCTATAAATTCTTAGTGCACAATAATACTTAGGCGGCATGGCCGACCATATATCATTTAGGCGATAGAGTCGACCATATATCAATTAGATGGTATAACCGACCATATAATAAAACTAACACAAATGTGTTAAGAACTTAAAACAAATCAAAGCTTAATCGAGAAACTTAAGAAAAATAACACTTTTTGCTTAAAACAAAATACAATTACAAACTACACACTTACCCCACTATTTTTCTATTCTCCATCTCTAAGCTCTCTTTCTTTAACTCACACTCTTGACACTCTTTTCTCCTTTTTCATTCTTATTACAATAGTAAAACCTACCTTTATTTATAGATTTTAGTGGTCATTGGATTGTTGACACATGTCAATATCTTAACCATTTAATATTACAAATATCTAGATCATTCTAATAGATAATTCTAGATATAACATTAAATATTATAAATATTTAAATTATTTTATGAATACTTCTACACATCTATTATTTTCATATTATTCTAGATTATTCTTAATAAATACCCTTGATTTAAAAATAAAAGCTTAAAACAAAATACAATTACAAACTACACACTTACCCCACTATTTTTCTATTCTCCATCTCTAAGCTCTCTTTCTTTAACTCACACTCTTGACACTCTTTTCCCCTTTTTCATTCTTATTACAATGGTAAAACCTACCTTTATTTATAGATTTTAGTGGTCATTGGATTGTTGACACATGTCAATATCTTGACCATTTAATATTACAAATATCTAGATCATTCTAATAGATAATTCTAGATATAACATTAAATACTACAAATATTTAAATTATTTTATGAATACTTCTACACATCTATTATTTTCATATTATTCTAGATTATTCTTAATAAATACCCTTGATTTAAAAATAAAAGCAATCCACTTACCCATCATATCTCTAGGAGGAAGGAGGAGGAGGAGGAGGATGAGGAGGAGGAGAAGGAGGAGAAGGAGGAGAAGGAGAAAAAGAATGAGAAGGAGAAGGAGAAGAAGAAGGAGAATGAGAAGAAGAAGGAGAAGGAGAAGAAGAAGAAGAAGAAGAAGAAGGAGAAGGAGAAGAAGAAGAAGGAGAAGGACCATCCGTATAGTTCACCATTGATTTAAAAATAAAAGCAATCCACTTGCCCATCATATCCTTAGAAAGAATAATTAAGCTCAAATCAATCCCTTTTTGTTCTTGCTCGATCTCAGACATGGAAGATGAATTTGTAGGGACAACCTTGTTGAGGAGGAGGAGGAGGAGGAGAATGAGGAGAAGGAGAAAAAGAAGGAGAAGGAGAAGGAGAAGAAGAAGGAGAATGAGAAGAAGAAGGAGAAGGAGAAGAAGAAGAAGAAGAAGAAGAAGAAGAAGGACCATCCGTATAGTTCACCATTGATTTAAAAATAAAATCAATCCACTTGCCCATCATATCCCTAGAAAGAATAATTAAGCTCAAATCAATCCCTTTTTGTTCTTGCTCGATCTCAGACATGGAAGATGAATTTGTAGGGACAACCTTGTTGTACGTTCTTCTTCTTCTTCTTTTGGTTTTGGATCTAAAGCCAGTATTTCGAGAATTTTGATTTTCTGTCTGATGAAAAACACTTCATGAGACCAAACAATGATAATCTCCTCCATTTCTTCTTAGGTTCATGAGAATATAGCCGCCGTTGATGTTTGGTTCCATCTTTTTCTCGATGAAATTCTCATATGTTTCAGGTGAATTAATTATTTATGTGAGACCTCATATGGCCACCTAAAGATCTACCACGAGGGAGGCTTTTCGGACAAAATTCAAGAACTCGTATCAAAAGAAAAAAAAACAAAATAGTCAAAATGAAAGTTTAGAAAATATGGTTTTCATCAGTCATTAAAAGAAAAATAACAACAAAAACCTATATCAAAACACGTCTGAAAACAAAGGATTTTGTTGAGAATTCAATACAATTAAGTGGAAAAACCAAGATTTGGTGAACTCTAATTTGATTCAAGTATGATTCAATCTTCTTGATTCAAAACAATTAAAACTATTGTCGAGCGATATTTTTTTAATTTTTTTTCATCTTCTTGATTCAATCTTTTGGTCAATTTATTCTTTGATTATGAATTGAATATAAGAACTTGTGTCAAGTATAGACGATAAGGGTAGAATTGTAGACTATGATAAAATCGTTAACTATTTATCTACTTTGATAACAACTTAAAATAAGTTTTAATTTAACTTAGCATAAACCATTTTTTATTTAAATTATTTTTATATAAGGGCGATTTTAATATATATTGTTCATTTTTATTAATTTTCCTAAAAAATTAAAAATTGCTTAACATTTATTTTTTTGAACTTCTACAATTTTTCTTTGAAAAAAAAAACCCAAGTCTTTTCATCACCATGATCTTATCTAAAATACTGTTGTATGTATCTTAGGTTTAACTAATTCATAGGGTAGAGTGAGGCACACCTCTGAAGTGAGAGTTGGGAAATAGCTCTAAAAATGCACAAGCAAAACAGCAAAAGTACCTAATAAATAGGGTTAATTGCCTTTAACATTATACATTTCTATTATCGTTTAAACAAGAATATAATAGGATTTATCGATTCTAAAATTTTATCATATTCTTTTTTTAGTTGAAATAATAATTTTAATTAGTAAACTTTATTTAATAATAAATAAATTTGAACCAGTAACTGACTCCCTATATAAGCATGGCCAGTAAACCGCTTTCTTCTTGCAAACAAATCAGTTGATTCTAAAGAAATTTTTACAGAGTGAATCCCACCCTCTTTCTCTGAAAATAACATACAGGGCTAGATACTTGAGATATTCATTCTTAGACTATCTGTTTCCTCCTCCTCCTCTCCACTTATGTTTCTTTGTTTCCATCTTATTCTTGGTACTGGGTTTTTCCTGGTACATAAATTTGAAGTCCATGTACGAGGATTTCGTGAACCAGATCAAGTTCTTCTTCATGCTGTCCCCGGTCCTTCTTCTGCTTCTGCTTCTGCTTCTCTTCTTTTCGGGTAACATTCATTTCCTAGTTCCGGAACCGGATAAGGATTGGCTTCACGGAGGAGGACGGTCGCCGTGGGGAGTAGCACTTGTGTTTGTACTCCTGTTTTACATGATTTACTATCAGTCTTCTTTCCATGAACGTTGGTTTCCATTCGGGGCCTAAATGATCTAATGTAACAGATATTATAACATGCACGTAAGATTGAGGTTGAGATTTGCTTCTTGTTCTTTTTGGAGTACACACAAGTCTTGTGACTTTTGTATCTTTCTAGGTCTGATCCTCTCTATGTAATATTTGTTGTATGAACGTATTTTGTAAGATTCCATAATTACACCATCATCAGCAATTTGCAATGGTTATATATAGGGATAAGATCTTGTTACATAATGTAAAACTCTTTTAGTTTTACATAGATTTAGGACCGTTGGATGAGTGAAATTATATGGCTGAGATTAACAATAGTAAATAAGAAGATATTCACTAGAAACACAAATGAGTCAATCTTAACCATATATTTTCACTCATCCAATGATTTTAAATCTATGTAAAACTTAAGAATTTTACATTGTGTAATTGGATCACAACCTTATATGTATATATATACATATATACATACAAATATGTATGAATGAGTGAGTGAAGATCTAATTATCATAATAATTTATGAGTCAAGTTAAGATGATGGGTTTGTACTCAAAAATTGGATTTAATTTATGTGCAATATCTTAACCATTATATTTTTTCTATCACTTGATCAAATAAGTGTTGGCTGTAATATCAAACATACGAGTGTGTAGTCACGTCAATAACTCTAAATTTACCTGATTCTGTTCTAACCTATGCGTAATGTGTATGTAGTCATTTCAATAACTCTAAATTTGCCTAGTTCCGTGCTAACATATGGTTAAAGAGAATAGTCATGTCCAGCATCAGAGCTTTTTTATACAACTTTTTCTGAAAGTAATTTCTGAAAGTAATCACCTCTCTTTGATTTTTTTGGGATGTTTCTGTAGTAGGTATACCTAAGTTTTCACATTTGCACAAAGTAGCTGAGGATCTGGCTTAGTTTGCAGAGTCTGGTGCAAGAATCTGATGTGGAAGCATTCAATGTGCCTTTTTATACCCCTTGCGAAGAAGAAGTGAGGGAGATCATCCAAAATGAAGGATCGTTCAATCTTGAAAAGATAGAAGTATTTGAAGTGAATTGGGATTTTGAAGACAACGATGGCAACAAAAATTATGTGTCAGAAGAATAAAAGCGGGCAAAATGTTGCAAAAACCATAAGAGCAGTTTATGAATCTATACTTGCTAGTCATTTCGGAGAGATCATAATTGATGAACTGTTCACAAGATATACACAACATGTGGGTGACCATTTGTTTGATGAAAAGACAAAGTTAATTAATTTTGTGGTTTTAATGACCACGTAATGGTTATATGTAAGGACGCATATCACTATGGGATATATCCCCCTTTCTCAGTGTTCCCTATCGTTATCATATTTGTGAGCTATTGCTGTCGTTTTAATGAACATATAGGTGAGCTATTATTCATGGTCTGTCTGTAAATAGATTATGTGTTATCACACTAATTATTTTGATTGGATTTATGTGAGATAAATGATATTAACATTTTGTAAAAATTATTAGTACGAAATATTACGTACATTCTTCATAGGCGGTGCACCAGGTTCCTTTTACGAAAGACTTTCCAAAGCCTTCATTTCGTACATTCTTCTTTTGCTCTTCATTTTCTCTCAAAGTTTACCATCTCTTTCTTAACTTAAATTGCGTAGGCAACATTAGTATAACTACAGGTATATGATTATCCAGGTCCCAGGAGGACTAGTGAATAACAAGGGGAACATACTTATAGAAGACTCAAGCCCACCGAATATATCCAAAGCTTTTCGCAGCAATATCGAAATGACATTTTGAAATTTTTGCGCTTTCTTTCTCAAGAAATGATGCGTAGAGGAAGAATGCTTCTTACCTTGATCGGTAAGAGCAGTATCTATTCCAGTAGCAATGTCTGGTGGAAGCTTTTAACCAAATCACTCTTTGATTTGGTGGCCGAGGTTCACTATTTTTTATTCACTTAAATGCATTAGTCCATATGTGTACAAGTACAGGTGTACTCATTTAACAATATATTTGGTTGCAGGGACTGGTGCATGAAGCTTCCGTGGATTCATTAAATATGCCTTACTATTACCCTTGTGAAGAAGAACTGAGGGAAACCATCGAAGATGAAGGGTCTTTTACTCCTGACTTGATTGAAAATTTTGAATTGAATTGGGATTTTGATGATAATGTTGGTAATGAAAATTTTGTATTTGAAAAGAGTAAAAGTGGGCAAAAGGTTGCAAATTACGTTAGAGCACTTACTGAACCCATGCTTGGGATCATTTTGAAGAGACCATTATTGATGATCTATTCTCAAGATTTGCCCAACACGTAGGCGATCATTTATCACATGAGAAGTCAAATTAGTTTAATTTATTCGTGAATCGAATTATAAATTCTAATTGAAGTAAATTATTTTTTCATTAAATAATTTATCGAATTATTATCCGAATTGAACTAAATGTTTTCTCATTAAATAATTTATCGATAAACAGATAATTTATTCATTCTCAAAATAATAAAATAAGTCTTTATAGCTTGATTAATTACATTTATTTTTCTCAAAGGCTAAGCAAATTTCCCAAGCCAATGCTCTTTATAGTTGCAGAAGAAAAAGAAAAAACTGATGCTGCTAATTTTTAGTCTTTAGTGTTGGGTAGCCTACTAAGAACAGAGTGCTCTGGTTTGTGCTCACATTCAAAGTCAAGATGAACAAATGCACGCTCAACTGCTTGAAGTTTCTCGATTTTTATCTGCAATGTCTCTCCTATGTGGTGTGCTTCTTTCAATGGCAAATCTTCAGGTAGTTCGATGTCCACCTGTATAAACAACATCACCACGGTTTCATATGCACACATTTTGTTCAACTGCTTCTAACGGGATGAATTGCATGAAACTAACCTCGACGAAGTAAAGAACGCCGAACGTGTAAGCTCGAACCGTGTCGATTCGCTTGACTCCAGTATGTCTGATGACAAGATATGTCAGTTTTTGTAGAAACTCAGGAGGAGCTGCTTGTCCTACTAGAGAAACTGCATCAAGACAACCTCGTATTCAGTTTGCTGTATGCACGAATAACCAGATAACCTCTAATGATCATATCAGAGAAATCCTTGGCTTACCTGCATTTTCCATAACAGTTTCCGACCAATTCGTTATAGTGTAAATTGCGAGGACGACAGCACCAGCAGGATCAAGCCACCAATAATATTTATCACCTAGAACAGCTGCGAGTAATCCAACCACATTTGTTACCACGTCGAAATAGTGATCCTGGGAATCGGCATCCAAAGGTGGTATAAAAGATGTCAATCACTAGAAAAGTAAAAAATAAAAGAATCCTATAGAAATCAAGCAGAAACCTTTGCGTATGCCCGGACGATCTTGTTTGATGAGCTTCTGCAGTAAAGCCAGAGGGCCAGTTTTACAACTGTAGCAGTCAACATGATGGTGTATAACCATAGAAATTTCTCTGCTGACATTTTTTCTGAAGGTTCATTTGCTACTAACTGCTGCACTGCCTGGATCAACACTTGGAAGCCTGTATGTATATGCAGTGTTGTAAGAGATTCATTGACATAAACAGTCCACAAAATTGTTTCTGAAGACGTACATACATACATATCTATTCACATCAATTTATATAGAGCAAAAGTTTAGGGAGATTATGGATAGGTAGCTAACTGCTAGGTGTTTTCGAAAGCACTTTTGAACTGCAACAACGATACTAAACTAGCCCAAGCCAGCAATGAACAAGGGAGGAACCTACCTAGTGTAGCCATCACTGCAGCAAAGATGACTATGCCTACTGGTTGTATCCTTAGTTTTCCAATTGGATACTTGTAGATGTTTGTGGATTTCATTGACAAGTGAGTGAACCAAAGTATGCCGCCCGCCATGAGATCGAGTAAAGAATCTAATGTCGATGCTGCAATGGCTATGGAACCACTCCTTATGGTAGCATATAGCTGCACAAACACTGGAAATGGTTATTTTAACAATTCAAACCCAAATGATACAGCAGAAAAAGTGTTGGTTTTGAAATCTTGACAGAAAACAAATTACCTTAAATACTAGCAAGATGACATTTGCATAATTGGAAATCCTCATGGCTCTCTCATGTTGAATCTGCTCTTCATCTTCATAATCATCATCTTCTCCATCAGTGGTTTCAGACGGATCGATAGCATCGACTTCTTCAAAGTCTTTCAATGTCTCGAATTGTGTTTTGTAGTATTCCTTTACACCTAACCAAAGAAGAAGAAAACACGCAATCGAATGCTATTTTCCAGCCAAATTTTTTTATCGGAAACCAAACATGAAAACTGAGAAAAGAAAATACCTGAAGTTAAGCCTTTGGTTTTGGAGACATCAATGTCATAAGGGGATTCAGCGTCGAGACCGGCGCGAAGCTTGTCCGGCAACTTCAACAAAAAATCATTCCTCAGTGAGTTCACCGAGTTACGGCGACCGAACCGTCCACGTCTGCCACTCTCACTCTTCGTCAGCAACGCCGACCGTATAGAATTCGATTCACCCTCCATTTTCTTCCCGATCCAACTTGAGCCCTAAAACCCGAATTCGATAAGATGTCAGTGAGTTGGTTAGTTTCAAAAATTCCAAACAGACACCATCATAGTGCTGCCGGAAGTCGGTTTAGTTTGAGGAAAATCCTTGTTTCCTCGGAAAAGTTGGGTCCTTGTCCAGTACGATAAGAGCTGAATCATTGACAACAAATTAAAAATTTGATTGCATCTCGCAGTTAAATCCTATTCTGACTTTTCAGGGATCTATTAACCACCTTACCATTTATCAAAACACACATTTTCGTTTGGATATAACACTCTCAACAATTCTGATTTAGTGGGATTTAAAAAATAAACATAACGTTAGAATTTTATTAAGATTCAAACTCTTAAAAATATGATAGAGTTTTACTAGAATTTAAACTCCTAAAAATAGGATAGAGTTCTACTATAATTCAAACTCCTAAAAATAAGATCCACAAGAGTTATAAATAGTCATTATAACTCACTATTGTAACACACGGTTTACATACAAAATACAGAGAAAAGCACGAAAAAATACAAAAGCAAAGCTATTGTAAACGATTCGAAAAAGAAATAAAAGGTAATACATTTTTTACATTGATTCGTTTATTTCTCGCATGTGGATGTTATTTTTCTTCAGATTTGGTTTGAATAACCCAAAACGTGGGTTGCGCCGATGACCAAAAAGGGGTGAGGTTTCGAACCTAGATCTACCCCTGAGGCGTGTTCCTGTTTTTAAATATTTAATTCTCCCTCCAAATCAATTTTTTCCCTCGAAATTTACCCATCGATTTGTTTTTCCTTTTGATTCGGTCCCTTACATTTACGTTTTAATTATTATTATTTTATTTATTTAACTTTATTTATACGCACATTTCTCTTATTACTCATTTTATTTATTTTTTCATGTAATATTTTTTTTTACATTTTATACATTTTCTTTTTTACTTTAGTATATATTTTTATTTTTTTAGATTACATATATATATATATATATATATATATATATATATATATGTATGTTACTTTTTATTATCTGTTTTATTAATTTTTATATATATATACTATTTTTTATGTTTTTATTTATTATATATATATATATATATTTTTTTTATTTTTTTTATTATTTATTATTTATATTTTTCTTCTTCTTTTTCTTTATTTTTCTTTATTTATTTATTTATTTATTTTACTTACTATTTTATCTTTGTTTTCTATATCTTATCTTTTATTTAATTTTTTTCTTCATTTTAATTTAATTTATTTATTTATTTCTTACCTTTTTTTATCTAACATGGTTTCTTGACATTCTTAAGGGCACACATTTAAAACTATCTAAGGTAAGTAATTGAGATCGTATTTTTACCTTTTAATTTTAAATTACAATTTTCTTAATTTAAGACAACTGAAAATTGTGTAATACCGAAAGGGCAGTTCAAGGATGTTAACCCTTCCTTAACTGTAATCGACTCCTGAATCCGACACATCTTTGGAAAGATGCAGATCAGGTAAGAAATATGGTATCTGATCAACCTATTTGTCTTAAAATAAATTATCGGTGGCGACTCTAATTCGTTTAATCCAAGTCGAAGCCCAAATTCGGGGCCTAATCGAAAGACGGTTCTGACAGCTTGGCGACTCTGCTGGGGACAGGTAAGTGAGTCAGGCTAAGGTAATTTCCAGTTGTCTTTTTAACGAAAAGGGTAAGTTTAAATTTTAAGGTAACATTTTGATCTTTATTGCTTACTTTTGATTATATTTTCGAGTAAATAGTTGTACTAACCGTTTTCTAATGATTTCAGCCTCCCAAACTTGTTTTTCACTTAAGGCTCTAAACCCGAGCTCTGATCCCTTTTTAAGTGGGGGTGAAAGCGACACCTTCGTGTGAATTTATTCATCGCACAGGCCTAGCAAGTAGCATTCGGGATTCATATACCTTATGTCTTCGTGTGAATTTATTCACCGTACAGACATAAAGAAATGTGTCATCTCGAGTTTAACTTAGTCCACACAAGCTTGTAATAGGCTTAGGACTAAGGGTCTGGCAAGCCCAAGGGGCACCAGCAAGGAGAACTCATGTACCTTTTTTTTAGAACCTAAACCGAGATAGTACAGGGAATTAGAGCCCACCCCAAAACCTCATTTCCAAACCCTAGGCTGCTTTGATATTATTTCATGCTTTATTTCATATTCAAAGCATGTGAACTAGAAATTTATACGGTTAGGACTTGTTCAAAATCAACTTGCGGGATAGAGATCATGTCCGGTAAGAATCATGAGCATGTGGGGTATATATCATGTGGGGTAGGACTTTTATTTTCATTACTGATTTAATTATTTTTGCCTCACTAACTCTTTTCATTTTTGTTCTTTTTTATTTTATTTTCATCATTTGCATCATTCAAAAGAGGTGTTGATCCACCAAAAACGTGTTTGTTAGACATAAATAATTTGCATTAATGGACAAAGGGATTGTAATACAAGAGATGAAAATGCAAATGACAGTCTACAAGGCGACTATGTGTCACATTCAATCCAGAAGACGTGGTGCCCACAATTGAAGAGTATATTACTCTGCTGCATTATAAAAGACTCAAAATGAACATGGTTAACGTCAAACACAATGAAAGTCTATCTTGGAAGAACTGACTGGCAGAGGTTGCAGGGGTAATATGAAGGTTACTGATCTTGGGGGTCCCTTCAAATACAACAATTGCAAAACGATAGCTAAAATTGGAGACCATTGCTGACGAATTCAAGAAACAGATAAATAAACTTCACATAG